ATACTTTGTACATGTTAAAATAAAATGATATTCATCTTCAATGTCATTTGATCCACATACTTCGCAAACTCTCTCGCTCCTTTCTATCCTATTCTGTCCGTATCTACCGGACTCAACACTCCGGTAATCCTCATACACAAAGTCTTCTATATATATATATCGCAAATAAATCGCAAGGAATAATGATTTTCCCGAAATGGCAAAATATCTACTGAAAAGTTTTTGTACACTGCAAAATTAATATCCTACAAAAGTACACTGCAAAATTAATATCCTACAAAACTTTCAATATACAAATGTACTTTTTACTGCAGCAATTCAATGTTAATTAACCGAATCTAGTCTCTACTGTGCTTTTTGCATGATGGATATTGAAAGTATAGAGCATCTGTTTTGGAACTGCCAAACTAAAATTTAATATTCAAACGGTTAAATTAAATAGGAAAAAAGTCAGGAACAAATATAATTTAAATAAACCCACTGTGGCTAGGTATCATCCAATTCTTAGATGGCAACACATGTTATCTTTCCGTAGATTCCATATAAGAAGTGGTCGCAGCATTGAAACATATACACGGCAAAATACATGATGTCACGTATTCTAGGACAATGATGCTAGGTGCAAATTCGATAAATTGGCAAATTTGAGTGTTCCAGTGAATATATGTTTCTGAGCAGGTATGTGTCCCTATCAAATGATATGTGTTTGTTTTTTTTTCACCAAAAAATATTTAAGTAAAGAAGAGAGACAAAAAAATTCACATCTTCTCGATCACTAATTCCTTTTCGTTTATTTTATTTTATTGTGTTGTATAACTTCATTTTAATTGTAAGAATCAAATATGCTCTTTTCACTATTAAAATCATAATCTTGTGCTACGGAAATATCTCTATATCATAGAAAAATACATGTTTAATCTGATATATTAACTATGTTCAATGTATCGAGTGAATGCAGTAATGTTTTAGCATATTTTCATAGTTTCATTTTCAAATGACATCGCACACGCACGTGGAACGCACGACAAAATGGTTTCTTCGTACAAACACAGGAAACTTAATTTTAAAAAGAAAACCAAAAAAATAATCCCCTTCCATTTACAGTGCATAAAAATACATAGCATTCTTTTTTTCGTTTCCTGTGATACGAAATGCACACATTATTTAGACTTACACTTTAAAGCAAAAAATTGCGCTAATGCACTTTTATCCAGTGCATTTACATATGCAGAAGCCCCCAGACTTATTAAATACTTCGTACTGCGGGCTCGGGTTTTAAATGTGTCTTTGTGCTTCTGCAGATGTAAGTGCGCGAAAAAAAAGTGCATTAACCCTCTAGACGAAAAGTCAAGTCATTTATATAAATTGCATTTTCATTTTTGGGTTATTCACAAGTTTGAAAGGGTAGATCTTTATTATGATAGTGCCAATTAAACTTGTCCTGGAATAATTCAAATGGTATGCGTCACAAATTTTAAGCATTCGGAACATATCGACCATTATTCTTATTCGAAGACATACGGAAAGGGTAGAAAAGTTGCAGGCAATGATACAACGTCAAGGGTTAAACTTGGGGCGTCAGTGGTCGAGTTGTTAAGATTGTTGGCTTCAAACCACTTGCCTCTCATCGCTGTAGGCTCAAACCCCGCCAGGGACTTCGGGTCTTATTCATGAGAGGAAGCTCTCTATAGCTAGATTATGGAACGTCGTTGTTTCAAATACATGCCTAAAATCAAACTGTATATCGATTAATCTAATGAACATATGAGATTTAATGATTTTACATTCAAATGAGTACATTTAGATATGGTCTTTATGACAGCTTTGACTGTATATCAAACATTCTTCCACTACACATACATTTCGAAATGTCTATAAAAAGACACCGTTATCTCAATGGTGACCCGGAATAAATTCACTTTAAATCATGTGATGTTTGTAAACTTTTATCTTGACCCTGGTTGTAATCATATTCGCCACTTTTTAAATGGCATGTATTTATATGGTATTTATGTAACTTGGTGAGTACGGATTCCTCTTAAAATATCATTTTTTAATCAGTTTGCAATTTATTTAATGACTAGTTAAAATCAAACTTGAGATATGTGTGAAAAGTAAAAAAGATTCGAGCTACAAGTAATTTAAATCATTTCATTCCTGATATTGCAGTATTCATCACCATATTTTAACGCAGAATGTTTTACGCTATTTTTGCATATTTTGATTTCTAGTGGAGTGTACATACCCTTTAGTAATGTGTAAAAAATTTCTTTGTTCAGTTTACAGTATTTAACTTTTCGATACATTTTTATTTTTTAATGAAAATTAGCATAAATCTGAGGGCATGTTGCTATAAGAAAGATACATTTGCTGTATTTATTCAGAATTAAACTTGAAATATGATAACCAAAGTTATCAATAATAAACAACGTGCCATTAATTGTTTATATGATTGTATTATTTGGGTGTTAAGGTATTGAAGATGCTTTTAAGAGCTGATCTTTGTCATAAGTTACAGCTTGTATATATTTTTGGTTATAGAGTTTTGACATGTTATATGGCCCTTTCTATATAAACGGTTATTTGGAAATATAACCCGAATCGCTAGTTCTGTTCTGTTCAAAGATATCGTTAACTATTGATTGATGTCACTTTACTAATCGACCGTACGTCTATCAAAATATATAAGTAATCAATTTTCGTTTTTCATTTAATTTTCTGTAAAAAAAGGGGGGGGGGGAAAGATCCTATAAGCGGAAATTCTGTTTTAATTATTTTTGACTTTTTTTTTTACAAATTTAGTAACATTACATGAGGATTTCAACATATCTTCAATTTTGTTGGGGATTTTTTTATCGTAGGAAAAATTTGGACGAATAGTGCAAAACAATTTACCCTATGTCATTCTGATGACTCATGTATTTTAATCTTATACTATCTGGGTTAAAACAGGACCATATCAGATACTTCCGTTTGTTGGCTAACAACGAGAATATTTAGACAAGATCTCGACATCTTTTGAGGAAACATTTTAATGTTTCTTTTAGTAATAGAAAACGCTTGTATTTTAATTTGCGTATCTTTAGATTCAGGTTATTTAACAGTGGTGTTTTAGATAAAGAATACAACAAATATCTATAAATGCTTGAGGCTTAATCATTATATGAAATAAAACAGGCGTTGTATAAAAATAAATCCATATAGTAATTTAAAGGCATGCATTGCAGCTTTCGGAAAAAACCTACTTCTTTTGAGGTCTAAGTGGATTTGTGTGAATATAAAAATCAGAATCTGTTCAATGCAACCTAATGAAGTATTTTCACCAATAATGTTTGAATATAAATTGGCAGCACTTGTATAAAAATATTTTAAAGTTTGTATTTATATTAATTTATATTCATTATAACAAAACTAAATGCCATTCGCACAATCAATTACTGTTTTACTGTTTTGAAATATAAAACGTGATAAATCGATGAAAAAATATTTGTATTTTAGATGTTCTACAAATTGACAGAAACAGTGTGACATGGGCGACAATAGCTCTCCGCTAGAATCTGACAAGTTTCCATACGTCCTTATCGTGACGGTTATCGTGTTACATGTTGTTGTAATGGCGATTGTTATATACTATTCATGCTGTAGGAAGAAATGTGTGTGTCGTATAAATATACAAAATAATACAATACATCAGTCCAGTACTGGTGAATCTGTAAGAATGAGTACACGGGTAACTCAAGGTGACGTCATAGATTCAGATCGTTTAGTGGCGTCTAATGACAGATCTGCATCAAATAGATCTAGTTCGTTATTTGCAATCATTCGGACACGGCTAAGAGGCAATGTAAATGCCACGGATGCTTCAGGGGATGAAAGTGAAGATCCGCCGCCACCGTATGTGGAGCAGGGAGCCAGTGTGGGACATACGAACGCTGGTGCAAGCTTGAAGACTTACCTCATTTACCATCATATGACGATATAGTTGTACAGTTACCTCCTTTAAGTAATGTTCAAGGGACAGAAGGATATTACAGTGATGGACCACCTACTTATGAAGAAGTGGAGGAGGCAAAAAAACAAGAACTTTGATGCCGATATTAGCTAGTTGAAATTAGTATTTAGTACATATCCAGATGAAGAAATGACGTTATTTATCAAAGGAGCTCCACTGATGTTAAAAAAACACAAGCATTTACATTCTCACAAAGATTAGCTGGGGCATTTAAAACGGAAAATGCAAAAGATAAGAAAAACACTCAAATTAGAATCGATTTTTGTTCGATTCTTTGGCAGATTGGAGTAAAAAGCGTTGAAAAGTTTTCGGGTTATTTTAAAAAATAAGAATGATGACTCTCAGAAGAGAGAGCAAATGATCTGAAATGCTGCTCAAGTTATTGGTATAGACCTTTATCAAATGGTACACAAATCTCGAAACAATGTACATGTACATGTATTCAGTCCTGGCATATTAAACAACTTCGGCGGAGACCAATTAAATAAAAACTCGTTTGAAATACCATAACTTGCTAGAATATCATTTTACTTCTGCCAATAGGAGCTACAGTATGAATATTGTTGAGTCGGAAACACACGAGAAAGTAGAAATTACTTCACTGAAACCCTTTTTTCCCCATTTCACACAGGAAAGTGCGAGCATACACAGTTATCGGCATATAAGTCAGGGAAAATGTAAATCTTCAAAACCACTATACTAAAAGGTTGTCTGATTGTAACACAAGCATTTTTGAACAAACAGAATTTATTTATTGAACATATTTTTTTACACGTTGTCAATGCATTTAATAAACTGTTAAAAATGTACTGTTTTAGTGAACTTATTTTGAATACTGTTTCGAGTAAGTAAACAGTTATCAAGTGTAAATTTTTGACAAAGATTTTGACCTTATTAGCTCGGCACTGCAGGATGTCTTCCTATCCACCTATTATAAATATGGGACCTATTTGTTCAACTTAATAACAAAACAACAACAACAACAAAATGTAAATTAAAAATTTTACTGATTCTAAATACATGTATAACAGAATTCTAAATATTTCAAATCATGTAGGTTCATCACTGTATCCCATAGCAATGCCTTTCTGTCCTTCCACTGCCATTGTAACTGGTGTTTCTCCCAACTGTTGTTCTAAACCTTGCCATGATCGCATTTTCAGAAATTCTCCTGTCAACAATATAAATACTCATTATAAAACATTTTCATTATATGCATCCGCGCAGTCTGGTCAGAATCCATGCTGTTCGCTATCAGTTTCTTTACTTGTTATAGGGTCTGTAAGCGAACAGCATGGATCCTGAACAGACTGCGCGGATGCACAGGCTGGTCTGGATTCATGCTGGTCGCAAACCCATTATGTTGGTTTTGTCGTGACACGGCTCATAAATACTCATTATAATACATTTACATTATATAACATTATTTACCTTCAAACTTTTTTTGTAAGAATGAGTACCTTCAAACTATAAGTAACTGTATGACATTGACCTTTGAGGTAGTGACATGGGTCTTAGACGACACATCATCATGGTGTAATAGGCATTTGTGCCAAGTTATTTTAAAATCCTCCAATGCATGACAAAGTTACAGAATGGTCACTTATGTTATGTAAAGGGTGTACCTTTAACCCCCAAGTGTGACCTTGAGCTTTTAGGTAATGACATGGGCCTTAAACCGGACATGTCTTCTGGATGTGGTAGACATTTGTACTAAGTAATTTCAAAATTCTTCAATGCCTGACAAAGTTACAGTCCTGACATGATTGTTGTGTGAGTGGGGATACACAGTGCCATTTTAAGACACGACTACTATATAAGTCTATGTAAACTAAGAGAAGACAGAGCATGCCCATTTTTGATCCAAGTAGAGTAATCTATATAACTGTTGTAAAGGTCCACAAAGAAATGTTACATTCCAAAAAACTGTAAGCTCTCAGCATTGTAGTTTTTCCACAAGAAGATTTAAATGTATTTTTGTATACATGTATATGTCTATATAAACTCAGTAACAATTGTGATTGTTACATGCCTTATACATGTATCTAACTAAAGGAATTGTTTAAGATTTTGTTTGTCAAGTCTATTTCTAGCTCTTGTGACCTTACCCTCTTTAGCATCATACATGAAATATTTATAGTTATACAACAGCTTTTTCACTATTCCTCTTTCTTAATTATGTAACAGTTCAGTGCACTTTAATGTACTTGCAGTTATTAAATGTAAAATAAATTCTACACGGTAGTGTGCCAGAAGTCACTAAATATAACTAATATACCTGCAGATTCAGTTTGAGTAGCAACAGTCATAGCTTCAGACCTGAGAACAAGTGATTGTCCAGTCTCTATATTATCATCTCCATGTCCTAATGTCCGAATCTTTCCTGTAACCAAGGAAATGTCAGTCTCATCTTGATGAAAGGTATCTGGTATTGATTGATGATGGCTTCCTCCTAATACAGAAAAATATCTCAATAAAAACACATCACATATCTCTCTTATAATCTGATGCTACTATTTTCTGTCAAACATGTATAACAGAATATGCAAGAATAGCATGTGTATGTAACAGGGTGAGCAAAATATGCAGCAAGACCATGACTCTAACCCTGGACTCTCGTAATACTGTTCCTTGTCCCTACTGACTGAGCTTTCCGGCCGCTTATATATCTACTCCCCTAAATAGTTAGCACACATCTTTAACATTGACCCCTGACAAGTAAACAAGAGGGCCATCATGGCCCTGAAATCGCTCACCTGTATATAGGCCCCCAGGGCGGGGCCAATTTTAACCCAGGGGCTTTTATTTGAAGATTACGGACTGACGACGGACGAAAAGCGATCACAAAAGCTCACCATATCACTTTTGTGACAGGTGAACTAAATATCACTCCAAATAATGGACATTGACCCCTGACAAGCTAAAGAATGCTCATCACTAACATTAACCCCTGACAAGCAAAGGAACAATCATCTTTAACCCATAATTATGACTGACTTTTTAAGCCATGATGTGTGTGCCAAACAACACTTTAGTGACCTTGATATTTTGCCTTTTTTCTGAATCTTAATACAGATTAAACATGCAAAGTGCTCTCATTTTTTTGTTTATGACTATGTGTCCTTTACAAAAATACCTGCACATTTGTTTCATATTATATAACCTTGATTTCCATAATATATCATTTTACTGTGCTTTGGTGAGGTAAAAACTATTACAAAAGATTATAATTATGGTATGCTTAATTGTTCATAAATATAATAAAGTATAGATAAGCTGTCTAGTTTAGACCTTTTTGTTTAGACTGAAAAACAACTAAATAGTTAAAACTAAATAGTTAAAACTTATTTCAACATCTCATTATCCTTGTTAAATCATACCCTCATGAACTGTACAAATACAATTTGATTATAAATATAACATATCATGTGACAATATTTTTTACCTTCTAGAAGTTGACCGAAGTCTGTTGGGTATTCACCAGTCCATTCTCTTTCTGTGTTACATGCTAGCTCCATCTCGTACGGTGTTATCACTGGTTTATAAAACTCTGACGAGTCTAGAAGTGTGTTCTCTGCACACGCTATCAGCACAAATACATCTATCTCCATAAAGTTTGCTAATTTTGGCACATTTATTTTACCTACTATAAAAACATAACTCTTTTTCCCTGCCTTTTTTGTTAAAACTTTCAACCTATTTAGCATATCAGAGTAATTAGCCACACCTAGTGTTCCTATTAAAATTCCTACTATTTTAGCATCTTTTGCTTTTTCTACCATAAAATATCTTTTCATCAAAAGTTTATTTACATTTACATTTTCTCTCCTTCCTTCTTTAGTACATGGATTATACGAGAAGAACTGACTTGACTGAAAGTTGTATATTAGATTATTCAATGTCAAACTTTCTCCTCCAATGTAAAACATTGAGTATTCACTGAGAGCCTTGTCACCTGGAAGACTAATAGTTCTGCCACATTTTGTTATTGTTTTAAATTTACCAGGCTCGCCATCTGTTGTATCAGCTGATGTACCTTCTCCTCTTATAGTTGACATAACACAGTTTTCATACTTGCTTTGTAATTTGTTTAATATTTCATCTGAAAAAGAGTATCTTTTATTCTATAATATGCAATACTATACAGTAAAATGGTATCCCAGATTTATTTAACAAAAATCCTAGTTTCTGGCTGGTTTAATATGTCCATTCAATGATTGAGCCTTCAACTCTTGTGATACCCTTATACAAGAAAACAGCTTATAGATGTTATTGGTCAATTTGTTTTCAAATGCTGGTTATAAACAAGAACGTGTTTGTTAAACACAAATGCACCGGCTCAGATTCTTGTCAGTAGCAATATTTCAAAAAATGTTTACCCATTCACTAAGTAATGGACAGAAAAATTGCCAAAAAATTGTAAACACAAGTTATATAGCTTGACAAAGTCATGGCATTTTGTAATTGTGAAAAATATAAGTTGCCAAGTCATTGCTCTGACTTGTGAAGTTGAAAAATATTCAACTTCGTGCAAGTTATCTTCCTACCAAATATGAAATAAATCTGTCAATAAATAAAGGCTGTATGGGCCAAAGTGTAAAAATCTATTTTTAGCACTGGTGACCTTAACCAAACTGACCCCTAACTCTATCGAAAAGAAGAATACCATGTAAGTTATCTTCCTACCAAATATGAAATACATCTGTCAATAAATAAAGGCTGTATTGGCAAAAGTGTAAAAATCTATTTTTAGCACTGGTGACCTTGACCCAACTGACCCCTTACTCCATCAAAAGGAAGAATACCATGCAAGTTATCTTCCTACCAAATATGAAATACATCTGTCAATAAATAAAAGCTGTATGGGCAAAAGTGTAAAAATCTATTTTTAGCACAAGTGACCTTGACCCACTGATCCCTACCCCAATCAAAAGGATGAATACCATGCAAGTTATCTTTCTACCAAATATTAAATATATCTGTCACTTAATAAAGGCTGTATGAGCAAATGTGTAAAAATCTATTTTTAGCACTGGTGGCCTTGACCCAACTGACCACTAACTCCATCAAAGTTTATGTTTCTATCAATTATAAATAACATCTGTCTATAGAATAAGGTCAATACATCTGTAACAAGAGCTGTCGGTAGGACAGCAACGCTCGACTATTCTAGTGCTTAATAGTAAACAATAATGCTTGATAGAGTTACCTACTCCTGTTTACAGGTTGGTGACATGATGGTGAACAAGTATGCAACGTTTCAAAGCCATATGTCAATGGACTTTGAAAATATTTGAGGTATTACAAAAAACTTTAACGTTTGTTCTAAGTCGAAAAAGGGGCATAATTCTGTCAAAATGCTTGATACAGTTACCTCCTCCTGTCTGCAGGTTGGTGTCATGATGGTGAACAAGTGTGCAAAGTTTCAAAGCCATATGTCAATGGACTTTGAAAATATTTGAACTATTACAAAAACTTTAACGTAAATTCTAAGTCGAAAAAGGGGCATAATTCTGTCAAAATGCTCGATACAGTTACCTCCTCTTGTCTACAGGTGGGGGTCATGATGGTGAACAAGTGTGCAAAGTTTCAAAGCCATATGTCAATGGACTTTGAAAATATTTGAACTATTACAAAAACTTTAACATAAGTGGTTACGCCGACGCCGACGCTCGGGTGACTACAATAGCTCTACTTATTCTTATCGAATAGTCGAGCTAAAAATGTAAAAATCTATTTTTAACATTGGTGACCTTGACATTGTTAACATTGACCTTGACCCAAATGACCCCTTACTACACCCAAAGAAGAAGGATTGTATTTAACTAAGACATCACATAAAATATAAAGGCTGTATGAGCAAAAATGTTTATATTTATTTTTTAAACCTGTGACCTTGACCTTGACCCTAGAGACCGCTTACTCCACAAAAAATTAGAGGACCATCAAAGGTATCCACCTACTAAATATGAAAGATATCATTAAAGAAATTAAGCAATTAGGAGAAATTAAAGATAAATCCAACTTGTCGAAATAGGTTAACCAGACAAGGCCCTATTTTCAAAGAGAAAAAAGGGAAATAACTGGGTAATATGGATGACACAGTTATATAACTTGGCAATATCATGTACTTTGTATTGATAAGTAAGTGTGGAAATTATAAAGCCATTAGTATAGATAGAAATTAAGATATTTCCAACTTGCCGTTTTAGGTTAACCATTATTCATTTTCTAAGTGCTGAAAAGGGCAATAACTTGGTAAATATGAAAGCCAGAGTTATGTAACTTGCCCAGATCATGTACTTTGTATTGATTAGTAAGTGTGTAAACTTAGAAGCCATTGGTACAGGTAGAACTTAAGAAAAATCCAACTTGCCGTTCTAGGTTAACCTCGTACGGACAGACGGAAAGACGGACGGACGGACGGACGGTTCAATCACTATATGCCCGGGGGCATAAAAATAATAATGGTATGAGAATCTATAAGTCAGTTTTAATTTCACTGAAACCAAAACATATTATGTGCATGTGGTTAGGCCAAGAGATTTACATTTGTGATATGAATACCCCGAGATATATGCTATCTTATAACCAAAGTCCAAGATTATACAATTCTTATACAGTTTTCAATTTTTAAAGTTAATTCTTCCTTTATCTAATTTCATGGTTGTTTCAAAGAATCAGACAGAACATAAAATTATTTTGTGTGAGTACAACAATGTACATCTAAATAGTGATACTGATTTAGCCTACAAGAGATATTTCAATGCACATGCCAATTATGTATATGATGGCAAAAAGAGAACAATGTTTTATGTTACATACAGAAATTTAGCAGCAGTAACCCTTAACTTGCTGGAACCAAAGCTTTTGCCACCTGTAAAGAAACAGGAAAACATGCATGTCCAAGTCCTTCACTGTTGGTGGTTAATATTTTGTATTTTGAATGGACTATTCCAAATATAAAGCTGGGTATGTCCATTATACAAAGTCTACAGGTAACAAGTTAATATAAGCAGTGACCCGAACAACATCAAACATACTTACCACATGTATACAAGTAGACAGTATCATAAACTATGATAACACTAGATGTCACATCTGGATATAGACAGGAAAATTTACATATACAATCATCAATGTGTAATGGTAATCTTCCATACACAAACAGTACAGGCATCTTGACTGGCTGACTAAGACATGATCGTCCGTAGTGTATCAAGGCACTGGCATTGTAGTGTTGCGCTGCCACCTCATCAACACAACAACTGCTCATAAAAACATTACAACACCATCAATAATTAACAAAACAGAAATGATATTAAATCTCCTATATTGCCAGTTTCTTAATTCTTTATTCCCTCACAAAGTTTGTTTCTTCACAAGGCTAAATATCAATAAACAGTCTTAAGTAGTATCAATAAATGGTAAACAGCATTACACAAATATGGTGTACCAGCAAAATGATGACATTTTTCCTCAAAACAGGAATTTCAGCATTTAGTTAAAAAGAACTTAAATATGCATAGCTCTAGATAAGCATAAATATTTCAAAAAAATCAAACTTGAAAAAACTGTACTAAGATTTAAAAAAATGTATAAAAATTCAAGATTCAAGTAATTATTTACATGCAATTTGCAATTATTGATTGATTTTGCAGTATTTATCTCCATATTTCTACTGGGTTAGTAAAGCAGTAAAGGGCTACTTTTTGCACATTTATACCACTTTTTGATAATTATTGTGCATTGTATGCGCCGTTTGCAATGTGTAAATTAATATCTTTGTTCAACAATATTTTACTTTTAAATACATTTTTAAAATTTTCATGAAATGTAGCATGGATTTGGAGAATGCTGCTTTAACTACAGTTGACTCTCAATAAGTCATAATCGCTTTACTAAAAATTCCGCGTTAGTCGAAGAATTTCTAAAGTCCCGTCAAATTTCCTTCTTTATCTTTGTATTTTAACTCCGCTTAGGTCAAATTTTGACTTATCGAGACTCCTGTTTAGTCGAAAAGAAAATTTGGTCCCGTCAATTAAAGTCCAACATATTTTCATCTCAATTAGTCGAAGTGTGAAAACAGCCGACTGATCAAAGGTTGGCGACATCAAGGTGAGATGTTGTCACTCGTGATTCACACGTTTCATAGTAATTTTAATTGCCGGTCATTATGTAATATTAGAACGTCGTGAAAGTGGCTTTATTCAGATTCAGGACTTAATTGGTTGTAACAGTTAAGTAAACTAAGATTTAATTAATAGAATTGTGCCAGCCTAGGTATTGATGTGTGTTATCAACGCAAATGACATTTGTATAATTTATGTTCCGTCATATTACATACATTAATAATTTTTGTACTTCCGGTTCACGATAGTTGCTACTTTCGTTTTCGTCCGATGATCAATTTACTTCAAACATTAGATAAATCGTTGTTGAAATAAATGTGTTATTGTGCTTTTATTGTAATGAATTATCATGAGTGCGTATTAAAAGCATGTGCATTACTGATGAATACTAACAAACTTGCATTTATGTCATTGCTACAGATGCTTGTGTTTACATTTCACTATTAATATACATGTATTAAATTTTGAATAATATATTTTTGTTCATTTGAAATTTGTATTTGTAAGTGATTTACAGTCATTTCAACGGTTAAATATTGCAGCATTGTTGCTATCAACAATAACAAACCTACTTCTTTGCACATTCAATTTAGGTACATGTATATACATGTATGCATGTCAACGTAATGGCGGCAGATCCACGTTACTCGAATTCCGTTTCTCTCGAAGTAAAATGTCCACTTTCTTTGGATTTCGAGTTATCGAGAGTCAACTGTATATAACAGTTAACAAAACGGACAAATATCACACAGCCATTTTGTAACCAATTAATTTTGTCAAAATGTAGTCAATTTTATGAAATTGACCAAAATCAAAGTTGTTTTGATGAAACCAAATGGGTAGAAATACAAAAATATATACAATGTATCTCAAAAATAGATTATGTTAAAAAGGGCATCATAAAGAAACAGTATAACAAGTGATTCTATTACAAGCTTTATGGTGATGCATAATATTAATGAAGATAAAAATACATAAATTGAACACATCACAAAGTAACAAATTAAACTGACCTGCCATAAGAAGTATCACCAAGTATGAACACTGTATAACCAGTTGGAAGCAATGTTTCAAGCCTTGTGGTCACAGAAACTGCATCTTTCATCAAGTCATCAGGAAACTGTAAAGCTACCTTTAATGAAAGTAGTGAAATGTTCATATTTCAAGCCCAGACAAACTTTTAGCAGGTACTATACATACAAAAAGATTCAAAATAAGTTGTTTCAGAGATAAAGTCATATGACCATTCTATTTACAAATAACGTGAAACTTTAATCAACTCAATAATCTTTTAAAGTAATATTGATGTTTTTTAAAGAATAAATGAGCCGCGTCACGACAAAACCAACGTAATGCTTTTGCGACCAGCATGGATCCAGACCAGCCTGCGCATCTGCGCAGTCTGATCAGGATCCATGCTGTTCGCTATCAGTTTCTCTACTTGTAATAGGGTTTGTAAGCGAACAGCATGGATCCTGAGCAGACTGGTCTGGATCCATGCTGGTCGCGAACGCATTACATTGGTTTTGTCGTGACGCGGCTCAAATAAAATTTACCACAGTTCATGATACTATTGTAACTAACATGATACATTTAAACTGGTAGGCCTGCAGTGCTTTATTTGCTATTAACAAAACCTTCAAATACACACTTTTTATTCAGGTAATAACATTTTATATACATATAATGCTTCTATTTCATAAAAATTAAAATTAATGTGTCCCTGAAAAGTTGACTTGATTAGGAGAAAGCCTCACTTTTCAATTTTCATGATAAAACTGGAACAGTTTGTGAGGAGGGGAGAGGCCTAAATTCAGACTTTATCCTATACTAAAATTCCCTGTAGGGATAAAGTTCAAAATGCCTTCAAAATGGAGGTTTAAATGTAAAAGATAATATTTTATCAACTCTCATATTTTATGTTTCATTTTGGTCACTTGGAAAACAAATGTTCATTCATAGACAAAAATGTTCCACTCTACTAAATTATTTATCTTACCCTTAAAAACCCTGCATTCTTTATCCATTCAACACAACAGTTAATTTCATAAACAACATCAATTTGTGACTGGTCAGTTTGATGACCTCCTGCTATCACCTCACGTTCAATGGCTTCTTCACTTTTAGAGTAAAATGCTGAGGTTCCATCCATTCTAAAACATCTATAATACAGTGGTTACATACAACTACATGAACAACCCTTCCACTTATCTGAAATAAATATACAAACTGCTATTATTAAGCTGGAATGATGACTCCAAGCATCATTTTAACTGAAAAATATGTTAGAGCAAACACAATTCAAACAACCATATATGAATAATAATGGTATCAGTATCATAATAATGAAAAATCAAGTTCAAGCTCAGTCTAAAGCCTACTCAATTGCTCAGGAACACTAGTATCAATATCATTTAGTTACTATTTTGGAAAATAGCACTAATTTATTGGTTGTGTGCCAACATGTACTTTTCTAGGGACTGCCAATATAATATTGACATGATGACATCATGTTGGTCTTGAACCCTGGAGATTTAGAAAAACTATTGATAGTTAAACATGCAGCATGCTTTTTGACTGATTCAAACCACTAAGTAACGTTAAATAGTAAAATAAAAGAAGATGTGTTATAAAATATTTTATACATGTAAATGATGTAGATCTACATATAAAATTAACATTGGGAAATATAAAGGGCTTGTTAAAAGGAAAAGGAGTCTGGCAATTAGTCCAACTAATTAGACTTGTCAAAGAGAAATCGAGATACTTTTGAACCGGCAGTGTCTTTGACAGTTTGACAGTAGGAAAATAAACATTTAAATGGGTTAAACCGTTCACACTTAACTAATTTGAATTGGCTAGCTGTACGGGCTTGTATTGCTAGCCAAAGGTTCTAGCCGGCGAAAACAACATAAATTTCGCCGGTTAAAAAATCTGTTATAAATGTGAGCTCGATTAAAGATCAGTACATAAATGCTGCTATCCGATAATTATTCAATTGAGTGATTGCACAGGTAAGTTATGGCTTCAGGGAATAAATATTTTACAAGTGTTGCTCAGAGCTATGAAGCTTTAAATGAAAATAGAAAATAATCCAAAAGTACTGATTTTCTTTTGCATGTAACTTTAATAAACAGTGCTTAAATGAATGTGTTCATGTAGTTCAACATTTTGTTTGAATTAAATACACATTATACACTAAATTGTGAAACTTTCGTCTACAATAAATCAAACAGTCAAATACAAATACAGTAAAATGCCACCTAACGACCACGCCACAAATAGGACCACGCCACTATTACGGGCACTTTTTTAAAGTACAAAATATTTGCCTTCTTTATTCATTGAGAAAAATTACCAGTATAACGACCACTTCTGTCAGACATTTGTGTGTATTTCTTATCAAAACATTAACCTGTATTGCGACCATGCAACATAATGGCCAGACATCACTTGGTGTTTATTGCCCCCAATTAATTGTCGTAATCTTCCCTCTGGCGTAAACAAATACACCGGGTCAAATGAGGTCATTAATATAAATCGATTGATTAGACGCTTGCTTTACAATGTATCTTTAGCATTCAAGCGTCAACATGATCAGTTTAAACCACTTCTGGCTATTTAATGTAAGCAGCTATGGTGTGAGAAACGATTAATTTGTCGGGTAATTAGGATGTAATAAACAGGTGATAAGCATTTAAAATTGTTTGTTGTGCATCACAATTTATAGCAAGTATGGTAAAAATTGCTAATTACACCAAATTATCAGTTCATGTGTGCTTTATTTCGATGTGTAATTTATGTATTAATCATAATGAGAGTATATAATAACTATATTTAATACCTCATATTTTTTCTTCTAAAGGGGAAACTTGAAACACTAGCCGTAAACTAATATTTTCATTATATTAATGATGTATCATATTATCATACATTAAAAATGTTTTTTGTTTTAAAAAAATATGTGTTTCTTTTTACTCATTTAATTAAGTTCATTTACTATGTGCATAAAACTATAAAAGGTATACATTAAGTTAAGTTGGACTTTGTCAGCTGTTAAAGTGACTTAATCATTATTAAGACCAGTTCACTATTAAGACCACTTTGAGTCAGTCCCGTTAGTGGTCTTAATAGAGAGAATTTACTGTAACAATTTTTTTATCCGACTTCCTCGTTCTTATAGGCTCTGCCTATTTTTGACGGTTTTGACATATATTAGGTAGATGTAGAAAACGTAATTTAGATTAAACATGTCATTAAAATCTAAAATCCGAAAATGAGCATCCGGAAAATGCACTACATTTCCACGAAAACATATTACAACTTGATAAAAGCATTTTAAAAATAAATACCTTTGTTTAATTTAGAAAGTTTCTATTTTAAAATATTGTTTTTACTGTATAAATATGATGTTCAACATTATGATTTAAAAACTCACAAAAATAAATGTTCAAGAAAATAATATACGTTTCGCTCAAAGCCTTGATAAGGGCCGTGTTGACAGTACGGTATACTTAGCTAAACTCTGGTATCACGTAAGGGCCTAGTGAATTTTCGTATTCTTTGTTCTATAGTTAATCAGTCACATTTGAGGCTTAATTCTGGATTCCACTGTTCTTGATGAATCATATACTGTCTTCAACTTTAAACATCAACACTATCTAAGTTACATGAGGCCCAAAATATAATATGTTAAACATCTAAATTTTTTTCCAGAAATCTTCATTCTGTTGTAGATTCTAACTCTGTTTAAATTCGCCACTTTGAAAACTCCGGACTGCTTAGTACATTTTTAATCTTTCCGCCAACAAATGAGTTCTTGGAGAATACACAAAAACAACTTTTAAAGTCATCCTATAACACATAAAAAATACACACATACAATAAATACACTTTAATTATGACCAATCAAACTAGAGAGAACTTAAACTGGGCCACTTCAGAAATTAAAAGAACTACTTTCTAGACGGGTTGGGTCTAATTCCGTCCCGGGGTGAGACCGTAAAATTTTAGAAGGGTTACAGCTAGATAAGATAAGATACATGCATTTATTATCGGACTCATACACCGTAACTTAGAATTTTCTTATAAGGAAGTAAGCGGAAGTTATGTTTTTGGCGGCAATAGTGCACGAGTTTCTTGTAATTAGTAAAACGGGCATTCGAGGTTTATTTGTCAAGCGTTTTTAAATGAGAAATTTTCGAAAATATTGAAATATTTTCGATTATATTATGCAGAAAGTTTTGTAAATGTTTTCTTTTCAGGATTATGTACAGCTCGGAGCAAAGGAAACATGTGTCTTCATACGCAAAATAAATGATATCCATGGACTTTCAAAATCGATAAGGCGTATTTAATTCTGTTTTGATTCACTGTGAATTATTATTCTGTTTGCATATAATTATGTACATGAAGTTAGTTTATTTCAGGAAGAAATTATCTGTGTCTTTGCCTATTTATAATTTTCAAAATTCGTTTCCTTTTTCCATTATGACATAAAATTTTAGACCGCTAAATTTGGGTTTTATGTCAGGTAGGTTCGAAGGAGCCGCGCTGCTCTTGAGCCTGGATTCATCCTTCAACAATACCTCCCCCTCCCACGTTGGAGTAGGGTTGGGTATCCTGCTCGCAGCAACCTGACTTTTCGAACATTTTTTAAATCTTCTGTTTTTACAAAACTCTCTTATTCAGTTAATACTGGAAAGTTTATTTATATTTCTTTACTTTTACGAAGTATTTGGCATATTTTAACAGATGAATTTGTTTAGAAAATTTATTACTATAAGTCATGTGGAAGTTGTTTTTTTTTACTTTTGTCTTAACAAAAATTGATATGTAGATTTATATCCAGAATTTTGTTTTTGTTGGTTGGGAAAATAAATGATTAGTGGAGACGGCTTACAAATACTCCCTCTAGCCTCTTTAAACTCTGTGTTGTTTTGTTTATTTTTTCAAAAGTGTATTATTTTGGAATGTAAATGATTTATGCTCGTATCGTGCCCCCCTTAACCCCCCGCATGAGTGTGCGTAATATCAATTTCGGCCTAGCTACGCCCCTGTTCTATATATTGAAATTATTTTCAGTTTTTAATATAGATAGAAGAAATTTATACATGAAAATGTGACATGAAGAATATATTCTCTGTGACATCTTCAGAGTAATCACAAGAACTCCGGGACATTTGAAAAATCGGGTATAAATCTGTTAGCCTGTGCTTTATGTTTACAATTTTGCATTATAATTAGGTAATTATGTATGGCAAGGATGAAGACCAGAAATAAACCGGTCAAAACTTGTGAATTGGCAAATAATTTGGAAGTTTTACTGAAAACTACCAGATTTATAGCAAGAGGCGATGGAAAATGGCCTGTGAATTAGGCTTTGACACATAATACAAGATGTAATGCCCCGGTCACATATTCACGGATAATGCCACGGAAGAGCTACGGTCTAATCGTTCACGGATTACTACGGAAATGTGAAATTTCGTAGTCCGCTACGGTTCCAGTACGGACACACAACGGTATGAGTACGGAGTCCGACGGATTTACCACCAAAAGCCCCCGGAGAGACACGGATTGTTACGGATCGACACGGTTTGATACGGAGCGACACGAATCAGGACGGACGCACTACGGATACACTACGGTCTGCTACGGTATAAGCACGGGTTAGTACGAATAAGTACGGTCTGATACGGAGAAGAACGTATTGATACGGATAAGAACGAATTGCCACGGATCTATACGGACCTAATACATCCGTCTACAACCTCTTGCTTGCTCATTTTCAAAATGCCTTAAAAGAAAAGAACACCTAGAAAACGAATTGCAGAGTTCAATGATTTTGGCGGAGAGGACTCGGCCTAATCGCGTCTGACCCCCCGAGACACATCAGGTCCGATTAAAGTGAATTTCTTGAAGGACGCTGGATCCTCAACAAAGTTCGGCCACGAGAGCCTCATACTAAACTTGAAGCGGTCTTCGTAAAAGCCCATATCTAGTCCACCATCTCGTCTGTCTTCTCTTACCTGATTAGATATGGACTAGTAATCATTAATGAAAAATGTTGATCAACACTGCTTCTCTTTTAATTTTAAGATTTGCTGTTCATCTTACAATTACATTAATTATCGTGATGTTTATGTTTTAAAAATATGTAAAAAGCTTGTTAATTAATCTTATTATCACTCAAGGGCCAGCCTCCGAGGCTTATGAGACACTTCGTTTTATGTACATATTTACTCTTATTTCACGATCCAATGTTTGTAAAATATGTAACATTAAATGTTATTCTATTACTTGAATTGTAGTACGATATTAATATAAATTTACTTCTATGTATGTCATCAAGCAGCTCGACCACTGCCTCCGCATTCTGAGCCATTTCAATATATAGTTGCAGCCAGTAAATGGCAATTATCATTTATTAAATGTTTCCGCAAATATGTCTGTTTTTTTAACAAGAAGGTAGTATTTATACCCTTGAAAAAGTACATGATACTTAATTCATCCGTACTAAACAGTGGTGGACCGTACCATTCCGTACCGTTTCGTTTTGCAACGCAATAAACCGTATAAGACCGTGCTAATCCTTGCCTCTCCGTAGTACAACGTATTACGATCGTGGCTTTCCGTGACAATGCCGTATTAATCCGTATTAAAACCGTAGCTTATACGTAGGGTAACCGTACAAATACGTAGTTCTCCGTACAAAACCGTGGAAATCCTTGACAAGTTGGTGGACTACGAATCAGTACGGACTAGTACGGTTTTCGTACGGACCAGTACGTATCAGTACGGATTAATACGGACTAGTACGGATACGCTACGGTTGAGTTTTCCGTAGCAAATTTTTGTGCATGTTCAAAAATTGTCAAGGATCGCTACGGATATACAAGGACTACTACGATTGATTACGGTTACAATACGGAGAGCTACTGACCAGTACGGGTAGCTACGGACGATGCCGGAATTAATCCGTGGCTCTTCCGTGGGCGTATTCCGTGAATATGTGACCGGGGTATAAGACAAGCTTAATCATTAAAGTTTAATTTAGCACCTAAAACTCATTTTTGAACGATGAAAATAATCATTTTTGACGGGAGTTTTTGTAGTATATACAGATGTTTGCCGACGAACTCCGTGACAGTTATCACAAGAACTCCTGAACAAGTTATCATAAGAACTCCATCCTTCGTGTAACACTTCCTCCCCCGTGGTTATGGTCCATGATTGGCGATGGGTAAACCCATAAGTTAAAAGAAATCTTAAATTAATAGACCTACATACAATAGCGCGTGCACAAATTTGAAAAAGTGCATTAATAGATTAATTTACAGCGATATATATGTATTAGTATTTTATCAATATAAAAAAATAAAAATGAAGTTTTTAAGACATGTTTTGTTATTTAAAAGATTTATAAACAGAAAAATCTCAATTTCAGAAGTTTTTGCCTTTCCAGAAACAATGTGATTACTTAACTAAAGCTAACCTCTGAATAACAAAAACATTTTACACCCTGAACAATATCTAAGCGCGTGTATTTCGTTTTCAATTGCTAACATTATTTCATGGTGATATATTTTACGAAAGACTGGTGGGGACATTACAACTTCATGAATTCATGAATTCACGATTTCAACTTCATGAATTTACAATTTTAACTTCACGAATTCACGATTTCATCTTCACAAATTCACAATTTTAATTTGTGAAGTTGAAATTGTTAATTCATGAAGTTAAAACATATGTTTAATTTGTGAATTCGTGAAGTTGAAATCGTGAATTCGTGAAGTTGAAATCGTGAATTCATAAAGCTGAAATCTTGAACTCGTGAATTCCGTATGATGAAAACGTTAATTCACAGAGTCAAAATTGTGAATTCATGAAGATAAAATCGGAAATTCATGAAGTTGAAATGCCCCCACCGGTCTTTCGTTATATTTTGTGTTCATACATATGATTACATTTTTATTTCTTTTTGTTCAATTTGCGTATGAACTGCATGTGCCAGTGGGGTTGCCTAGATACAATGCAGACACAAACGTTAAGAAAGCCCGAAAAGTCGCGACTGTACTGTATATCCCTGAGATTTTCTATCCGACAACCACGTGAAAATCATGAAAATCGTGCTATAATCGTGTTAAATCATATTTATACATAAGGTGCCGCTGTCAATAAATTTGCAAGTAATTTTATGCAAAAATATTTGTATAATATGACGAAATCGGGACAATGACATCTGTGATACATGATGTAAAAGAACACTGAATATTTGTAATAACCTAATTATGAACAATACGAATTCAAACGCAAAAACTAACGAAAAAGTAGTGATATATAAAAAGATATAGTATATAATTTCTAGAAATAATGAAGAATGTCTTACGAGCTTTTGAATATTAAACCTCTATCATGCGAATGTAACAAGGTCCTAAAAGGTAAAGGCATATGTAGCGCCGATATATGTCCAAACGTCG